ATTCCCGGTACTGGAAAAACAACAACAACAACAACAACAAAATAATAATAATATAGTGCTGGAAACATTAGCCAGAACAATTAGAAAAGGTAAAGAAAAAGAAGGAATATGGACAGAAAAGGAAGAAGTTAAATTATCATTATTTGTAGATGACACAATATTCTACATAGAAGACTCCAAAAACTCTACCAAAAGACTTGTGTATTTAATAACTGAATTCAGCAGCATAGCAGAATACAAAGTCAACATTCAAATATCAATAGTATTCCTGTACACTAACAACAAATGTAAGAGAGAAATTAGTGAAATAACACCTTTCAGACGAGCATCAAAAAAATGAAGTAGATAGGAATCAATCTAACAAAGGAAGTAAAAGATCTATACATTGAAAATTATAGTACTCTGAAAAAGGAGATTGAAGAGGATATCAGAATATGGAAAAGTACTCCTTAATCTTCGGTAGAAAGAACCAATATAGTGAAAATGGTCATACCCCCAAAATTGTTATAACACTGGTTACTATTATGCTGAAGTACAAAGTTACAGTAGAAAAGTATGGGATGGGTTGGTGTAACCCAGTGTTACTGTCCCATGTTAACACATAAACAACTAGTTAAACTAGAACCAACTGGCTGGTTGACAAAGCTGTAGCTAATTAAGTTATTCTATGTTGACTTTTGGTTTTCTATAAATGTTATCATGTCACACTGTTATTGGAGTTCTCAGAAGTTGTTCTAGTTCTCCAAGCTACCTGGTTGGCAAATCTGTTTTGTTTTGCTCAAATAAACCCTATTAACTTTAATTGGTCCTAGGAACTTTTCTTTCAATAATACTCCTTTGTTAGCTGATATTTTTACAAGCTTATTAACTATGATAATTTTCACAGATTAGTGTCTGGCCCCATAAACATCAAACCTTGCTTTTTCTTCACACACATACTTTTTGTGATAGGCATTGTATAGCTTGAGCATTCCTAATCTGGAAATTTGAAATGCTCCATAATCAAAAAATTTTTGAGTGCAACACCACCACTACAAGTACAAAATTCCTGACATGTGATAGTTGAAGCTAAAATGCAGAGTAGAAATACTGTACACGAAATTACCTCGACAGTCCATATAAAATATATTGTATACGAATTATAAGTGAGTTTTGTGTTTAGATTTAAATCCTATCACCAAGATAGCTCATTACATATATGCAAATATTCCAAAATCTGAAAGTATGTGAAATCTGAACCATGTCTGGTCTCAAGTATTTTGGCCAAGGGACTATCAATCAGGGCAGTATCATTATACATGAGATAGGTAACCCAGCAGTCAGTAGAAAGTATATTTTTGGAAGTCAATAATATAACACTATAGTTAGCAATAACTTAACCATACATGGAAGTCACTGTAAACATAAACATATATCACAAAGCAAATCTTAACTTATCCAGACCCCAAAACTCCCATAGCCATTTTAACACCAGTGACAAGAAGAAAAGTGAAATGGAGTCAGTGGTTTTAACTGATGTGCTAAAACCTTGTTGTGCATGTATGAATTTTACTAAAATATCTATGATCACATGAACACATGCCAAGGGGTGCCTTGGAAGGAGCCTGTGGAAATTAGGAACCCTAGTGGCTAAGTAGGTAACAAATAGTACACTGGTCATCTAAGTATAATGGTAATGTCTTCTAGAGCTAAAAAGTAATCAAGTTGATACAGGATATAACCTAGAGATGAAACTTTTCACTTTAGACTTGATTTTATATTTCTTACACATTTTTAAATAAAGCACTAAAATATACTTCATCAAAATTTCCTCTTGGAGCTCAGTAGTGTGAGGAGCTCTATAGGTGATTCCCCAAGAAACTTGTGAGCTGTATTCAAAACAAACAATAAAAGTGTCATTGTGGACACTCATTTAAAGTGTCTGCAAATAGTCCTAAAGGCATACAGAAAAATGAAGAAAGATTTTTTTTTAAAAACCTGAAACTTCATAAAGAACAGTGAAAGTCTGTGATATTTATTACCTGTTCCTTTTTCTCTTCCTTCCCAGCTGAGTGAGACACGATTTCCACTACAAAGTGATACATGCAAGACCACACTGTCCCTCTCTCACAGCTAGACATTGGAGGGCTACCTTCCTGGAAGAAGAAGGAGCATTTCCCTTTCTACTTCTGTTACCTGCTGCTGAAGCTAACCTTATGGTGAGTGTGGCTGAATGCTTCAGGGCTCCTTCTGTGCAGGCACCCCCAGTGAGATGGAGGCACAACACAGCACCTCTGGGAATACTGGAAATACTTTGTTTTCCCTTTCAAGATTGTTTTGGCTATTCCAGGTCACTTGCATATCTATGAATTTTATGAACTTTAGGATCCTATTGCCAATTTCTACAAAATTTATCTGATATTTTGATAGGGATTATGTTGAATCTGTACATTCACTTGAGAAGTATTACCATCTCAACAATACTGTTTTTCAATCCATGAATATGGAATATCATTCCATTTGAATTCTGTAAATTCTTTCAGCAACACTGCATAGCTTTCACTTATTTTGTAACATTTATTCCCAAGTATTTTATCCTCCTTCAAAATATTTTACATAAAAATTTATTGGAGATTCTGGGGGACTGACTCTTTGCCTTTGCAGTGAGCTACATGCTCAACCCTTTTAAAAGTTTTTTAAAGACAAGTTCCTCCAAAGTTGCTAAAATTGCCCAGACTGAGCTTGTGCTTGCACTCTTCCTGCTTCAGCCTCCCAAAGTGCTGGGATTATAAATTTGTATCATCATGCCTACCTAAAAATGGAATTCTTACTTTCATTTTCAAAGTGTTCATTGCTATTGTATATTAATACTGACAATATATGTTAATATTGACATGTATACCCTTTATTCTTAACTCATTTATTAGTTCTAGTACCTTTGGGTAGAGAGCCACTGAAGCTGGAAATTGTCACACATGTACAGGTGAGGCAAGGCAGGTCTGAGAACAAAGAATGCCTGAGGCAATACAATCTGCTTCAGTCCAGAGAACACCAAGCCCAGAGACAATCCAAGCAATCAGTTGCTAGGCAAAACTGTGTCATGTGACACCAACTTTGTCAAATGCATAAATAAATGCCCCTATGGTGGTTGAGCAGTTTCTTTCCTCCCATCTGGAGAGAGAGGGCTCCACCTGACCTCAGCTTTTGTTTCTTATTTTTATTTTTCTCATCCTCTCTCCATCTTTCCCTCTGGGAACTTCAAGAGCTATGTGAGATGAGCACTTTTACAGTAAATTCAGGGTTTTCCATATGTAATGATCTTATGTGTAGAAATTTATATCTTTGAACATTTTAACCTTTATAGCTATTGGAAATTCTAAATATTATATGATTTATGTGCTTGGTTTTTATGCAGATAAATATAGGAGGTGATCAATAAAAGATTTTCAAGGACAAAAAATATTACATTGAAGTAAACTTTCAATGGTGGAAATATGAGTTATAGAAGAAAAGAAATCATGCAAAATTATCTCCTATTAAAGAAAAGCTTGTACTTGTAGTTTAAAAATTGATGATGGCAAATATCAAATTGTTTGGTATTTAGACATTTGGTACATTTGGTACAACTTATGTAACTTCTATTTTAAAAAGTCACCATTTAAAATTTTAAGTCAGATGAAAAATTTTGGCAATCAGTTTAGTTGGCTTCTTTGTTTGTTTGGTACCGGGAACTGAATTCAGGATTTTGCACTTGCCAGGCAGGTACTTGTGCCACTGACCTATATCCCCAGCCCCTGGTAATCATTTTAAAACATGGGTGGTACACAGCTAGTTTTTTAAAAATTCTTTTAGGGGCTCTAAAAGCAAAATAATTTGAAACCCCTGTATTAATGTATACCTCCCCAACATGTTTTGCTATTTATGACTATTATCTTTCAGACAGCCTCTGATTTTTAATTTTATCCCCCTTCCACTGTGTAGTTATTCAATAGTTTTCATCATCAATTAATTTGATTAAGGGGAGAAGCAATTCATCTGGCTCAAGTTACTGTTATCCTTCAATATTCAGGGCACTACAAACAGATTTTTTTTTGCAAGTCAAGCCTATTGAAGAGTATAAATTTGTCATTAACCCACTCCACTAATTTTAAAGAACTTTTTCAAGAAAAGTTCTTGCGGAAAAATTAAATCAACAGTAGCTACGAGCCCAGGAAAAGAAAGGAAACTTTGTTAATGCCAGCACATTTCAGAGGAGCAATCCCCAAAATCTGAGGTGAGCTTTACAAAAAGTTTGTCTTTTTAAAAGTTGGAGAACAGACGTTATGAGAACAGGATAAGCTTTTTACAATGGGTATTTTTGTGATGAACATAATGATGAGTATAGTGTATATCACACAGTTGTTTTTAGCACATTCACATAAGTTTCAATTTGATGACAAATCATAGTTTAGCTGAGTTCAGCGGCAGAGAACAGAATGACTGCAGCTTTATTTAACAAAATGGCTGCAGTGTGGTGAGGATTTCTGCTTGAAAGGGAACTATGCTCACTCTGACTTTTCCCTTTTAGCATTCCATAACCCTAAATGATACTGACGTGGGAGTTTACGCTTCAGAAATTTAACAGATTTTATCATGCTGGTGCATCCTTTGCAGCATGCGCGCGCGCGCACATACACACCCTGTTGAGACCTTTTGGAAGCCAGCCATCCCCTGGATACTACAGTACCGTCACAAAGGCTGCATTCCAAAACCGCCTATCAGCCTCCGTTCTCCCAGATGCGCAGGGCCGCGTGGCCGCTGCACAGCCCTGGTTCTCCCTCTAGCGGCCACAGGCTCTCCCCGCCCGCCACTCTTTCCCAGTGTCTTACGCGACGCCTCCGCGGCGGGCGGTGCGAGACACAGCGCAGGCGCGGGGCGGCCGACGTGTGGGCGTGAGTCCCCGCTCCGGGGTCTGACTGTTACCGATGTAGGAGGCTCTGGGCCCCTGGTCCTCACTGCTTTCCTTCTCCTAAAGTTTCACAGAGGCGTCTGGGTTCGAAGCGGGCTGACGTCCGCCCTACAGCTCTTAGAAGGTCAGAGTGGGTAGGACGTGCGGGTGCGGCGGTCGTCGTGGGGAGGGTGCCGGGGGGCGTCACGTGAGCGCGCGGTGACGCGGCGGCGGGGC